AAACACAAACAAACAACAAAAACGCAAACATTCACAAACACCAACAAAAGCACAAACAAACATAATCACAGATACAAACAAATAAAAGAAAAAATTTAGAAACCAAGGGGAAAACCTAATCCGTTTGTGACTTTTTGAAGCTTCATTCGTGAGCCTGTATAAATGCCTGTTTATGGTCTTTCTATCATTAGTTCTGCAGGCGAGGTTGAATTTCAGCGGGCTGTCCCTGATACACTGACCACATGGGTGGCCAGTGCTTTTGCCGTGTCTAACGTTACCGGGTTCGGTGTGGGAGAACTTAAACCACAGGTTAGTGATGTGTGTGACTTTTTGTGTGTTAATGCTTAGCCCTTTGCACCCTAGCATCAGTATTCATATTCTCCATACTGTTCTCTATAAATTTCGTCGGGTACTCATTGGCAAGGAGAATTTGTTTAACAATCAAGAGCTTAAGTTGAAGATCATTTCTTAATTTTTGTGACTTTTTTTAACTGTCTGATTCAGCAGTGACACTGAAAGGAAAAAGAAGAGGCTGGTCAGTCTTAGAAGTTAAAAGGTTATGCTGCTATTCGCCATTTAGAGCGCTACGTTAGCTTTCAGCCAATAAGCTCGTAAGAAAACCCCTTAGCTGTTAAATCTGGTTGAATGAAAATCTTGATTCTAAATGCAGCGTATCTATTTTTAGCAGTTCTCTTAATAATACTAGTTTCTATTTTAGACCTATTTTTCAAAGAGTCTCATTTGTCTGGCCATTAGGTGAAAGTCTTCCAGTCGTTCTTCGTGTCCTTGAATCTTCCATACTCTGTTGTTCGAGGCGAAGAGCTTGCTCTGCAGGTCACAGTCTTCAATTATGAGGCTGAGAAACAGCTGGTAAGTTGGACGAGTAACTAACGAGATATCACAATTGAGTAATGAACGAGTACCAAACGATTAGCGAACGAGCAACGAACGACTAACAAACGAGTAGCGAACGGTTAGTAACTGAGAAGCGAACTAGTAACGAACGATTTGTAGACGAGTAACGAACGATTTGCAAACGAGTAGCGAACGATTTGCAAACGAGTAGTGAACGAAGATCGATAGAGAAACAAACCCCAGAAAGAACGGTTGACGACTGACAAAACCTTGAATTCTCCACGCTTATTCATTGTTTTTGTTGTCGTTGTTGTTGTTGTCGTTGTTGTTGTTGTCGTTGTTGTTGTTGTTGTTGTTGTTGTTGTTGTTGTTGATGATGATGATTTTATTTGAAAGCAGTTAAATCGGTTGCGGTTAATTATTGTGATATATATATCCCTCGTATACAGAATTTATATATACATGTATATATAATGTTTATCATAAGATGATTTTGTTTGAAAGCAGTTAAATCGGTTGCGGTTAATTATTGTGATATATATATATATATGTATCCCTCGTATACAGAATTTATATATATATATATATATATGTATATATATATATGTATATATAATGTTTATCATAAGGTTATTTGGACTGTCAAGTTTCACTTTGTAGCTTTGTGGATAAATCTAATTTCATCATTGATGCGCACAACCCTTTCATGAAGGAAACATGCGTGGGGTTTATAACTTAATTGATGAGCACCTTTTCAGTTTGAACCATTTGAAAGTTTTGTCCGTTGAATGGAGATACCCCTCAAAAGAGGCCCCAGAGGAGAGGTTGCATAGGCTGAGCACGTGTTCAACTGCATCGTGAATGTAATTGTTTCCTTTTTTAAGGTCACCGTAACACTGAAAGGTTCCAAAGACTGGGCTATCATTGATGAAATAAACAGCCTAGGGCTAAGAGGACATAGCTCAGTAAACAAGGATTATGTCGACAAAGCAATGGACCTTTCAGTAGAAGTTGAGGTTGGAGCCGGTCAAGGAAAAGCTGTATCGTTCCCAGTGGTTCCTAAAACATTGGGTCAGGTACCAATTGAAGTTCGAGCGCAGTCTGTGTCCAACGCTGATGCTGTTAAGAGGAACTTTTTGGTAGAGGTAATGATGTAAACTGTTAAAGAAAATTGTGCTTATTCAGGAAACTGCAATGCGAAATCAAAGAAATTTCTTATGGTCATTACCAAGACAGAGAAGAGTACAATGTACGTGGTTCGTCTTCATGCAATCGATAACAATAACGCCCTCGTTTCAAAAGTCTGTTATTTCCAATTCAACTAATTTTTTCACAAGATAATTTGGTTTTATCGGCTGAATTGATACTGTAAATTTGCCGCCGTTAAGTGTTTGTAAGCTGACGTTTCGAACGTTAGCCCTCTTGTCAGGGCGAAAGATTAAGGGCTATCGCTTGAAACGCCGGCTTTAGAACTCTTTACGGTGGTTAATTTACATTATCAACTCAGTCGTCAAAAATGAAATTATTTAACAACTATTCGCCGAAGGCGAGGTGAATGTCGCCGAATAATCCCCGAGACGAAGTCGAGGGGATTATTCGACAATATTCACCGAACCTGAGGCGAATAATTGTTTTAGTATAATTTCAGAGCTGAACAACAGAGAAATTTCTAAAATCATAACATTTTAGTAACATTTATTAACATTTTATTTTAGCATTTTATATAAACCGCGTGGAGCGGTTTATAGAGCGTCATATAAGGAACCGCTCGACCAATCAGATTGCTGGAAACTCTTTGCTCAGATCTGAACTTATACTAAGTTACAGTGTTCCTCACCAACGCGGCACTACAGTTTCTTTAGAAACTTACCCCATTTGTTTCTTTTGTCACAGCCAGAGGGAGTACCACAAGAATACTCTATCAGCATGTTGTTGGATCTGAACTCCAGTATGTGAAACCTTTCTTAGTTTAGTTGTATTGTTAATTTCAGTAAGTTGTCGTTTGCCTATCATTTGTCGTACGGCTCATAATTCTGTTGTTACCTGGACCAACTGTTTTGGGTGCTCTTTACAGCCTCAAGTCTGACACGCACACTGGATCTGAGTGTACCGAAGAACACGGTCAACGGTTCTGCGAGAGCTACAGTGTCTATCATGGGTAAGTTTTATCTTCACTCTTGCCCCTTATTGCCTGAAAACGATAAAAAAGTAGACCTTTTCTACAGGGTGCTGTTAGAATCGAAGATCCTACTGGAGATGTAACACCCAATCGCTGTAGTGGTCAAGATGCTCATTATAGTTTGTTTTTTTTCTTGGAACACAAACAGTGGCCACAGACTCCCCGATTTCAGGGGTGCGGTAATGCCACATTTCTAACGTCCAACAGAAGTAATATTTAAACAGTTTGTAGTAAATATTTCTCAAGGACTGATTGTCATTTCTGTGCTTGTCATTGTGTCTTTTATGTTTTTTCTCTCTTATCAAACTAAAATTTTCTATTCGTCCTTAATTTGAACGAGAACTGTTTCGGGCATTTTGTTATTAAAAAGGTGTGAAATAGGTAACCTCGCACTGCCAAGATCTCATTAGTAATCCTCCTTGCTATCTGTAATACAGTTTTTTTTATATTCATTAGGACAACTTAGTATTGGATCAACTAATAATCCACTACTTGATATTTTTCTTTATTCTCATTACTTGTCTGCTCGATATTGTATTGATATTGTAAGGAGAAATTCTATCTTGGTCACTCATGGGAGTTAAAGAGTAAACATCGTCGCGGCAGAGCGAAAACGAAGAGGACCCAGACCCAGACCCAGACCCAGACCCAGACCCAGACCCAGACCTCTCTCGTTTTTTCACTCCTTCGCTTCTATCGCGCGGTTTACGATTGCGTTTGGTATTACTAACTGAGTAAGTAATTGAAAGAAGAACTGAAGAAATACATTTCTTCAAACTCATGTTCACTTTGACCTTTTTTGAGTTTTCTTGGACTGTTTCAGGGCTCGACACTAACTTTTCAACTTACTAGCCAAGTGGCTAGTGACAACTTAGGTGTTAAAACAATTTCAGTTTGTTTACTAGTCAAACTGACAAGTAGAAGTCTGGCCAAAACTGAATTTCTACTATTTTGTGGCTAGTTGGCTACCGTTAGAGTCGAGCCCTGGTGGTTAGAGTAGAACCGAAAGAATCTTCGACTTTCTGGTAGCGAAGGGACGGACTCACTCGCCCACATTGTGCTCAATGTAAAACCTATGTAGACATCGATCACCACAGAACACTTCCATTGTGATTTACGTGGCGCTGTAACACTTTGGCATTTCTTTTTTCTAGGTGACATTCTTGGCTCGTCTCTGAACAACCTGGATAAGTTGCTGCGCATGCCCTATGGTTGCGGTGAACAGAACATGGTTAATTTCGCTCCAAACATTTACGTCATGAAATACCTGAAGACAGTTAACCAACTAACCAATCAAGTGGAAAATACAGCCAAAAATTTCATGATCTCAGGTTAGTGCTGAAAACTTTCCAAACAAACAAAGGAATTGTAACAACCTGTAAATGCTCCTGATGAATCGTTGTGGAAACGCTCGCACTCAAGTTACCGTGTACCGGTTGGAAGGTGAATACAGCTATATGTAGCTGCGTGAATCCTTAACCCTTTACAACTATATCCATATTCTCCATACTGTTCTCCATATATTTCCTTGATTAATGACAGGGAGAATTCGGTTAACAATCAGAGCCTCATGATCTTAATGAATGATTCAGCAGGATTACTGTAAGGAGAAATTAGATGCTGGTCACTCTTGTGGTTTAAAGGGTTAACCGTCTTTATTAAAACTGGATCATCGGATAATGCAATTCAAGACTTTTTATTGGCGTAGCCATTCTGGTATATGAGCCAATATACCATAATCTAATATCTGTACATTGTAACATCCGGTTTCTTCTTACAAAATAGAGTCGAGAAGATTTGTCTAATATCTTGGGGGCGTTTTTTTTAATAAAACAATTATTCCACTCGCGCTTGTTGGATATGAGATGATTTTTGCCAACTCGCCGCTACGCGCCTCATTGGCTATCTATCATCTCACATCCAACGCGCGCTCGTGGAATAATTGTCAAATATCCTTTGTCCGAATATTGCGCCAAACCTAAAAACCAGGCAATTAACGGATTACTGACGTGGTATTTCAGGATGTTGTTAGTCACTCTACTAACTGTTAAATTGTAACACCTAACAGTGGCTTTTGGTTGCGAACTCACTCTTCTAATTGGCTACTTGATCATCTCCGGATTTCCCGGAAACTGAATGAAGTACTTGCAGTCAATTTAAATTCTTGGTTATGTCTGGAACTGATTACGTAGATTAATTGAGTGCGCTGTTCACAGTTCCTACTTGCTCCTTTTTTATAGGATATCAACGTGAACAAACCTATCGTCATCGTGACGGCTCATACAGTGCTTTCGGTGGACGTGACTCATCTGGAAGCTTGTGGTAAGAATGTAGGGTTGACAGTGTTTCATTTACAGAAAGGATAATATCAATTGAAAAAGAATTAAACACAAAGTAGTACTAACATAGGATGAAAGAAAGAGAATAAGTAAGCTGAGGGATAATTTCAATTTTTTCTCTCTTTCCCAACGAAAGCGGGGAGAACTTTTCAAGGGAAATATTTAGCAGTATTCATCATTGCGCATCCCAACAAAAGCGAGGAGAACTTTTCAAGGGAAATGTATAGCAATATTCATCATTGCGCATCCCAACAAGAGCGAGGAGAACTTTTCAAGGGAAATATTTAGCAGTATTCATCATTGCGCATCCCATCAAAAGCGAGGAGAACTTTTCAAGGGAAATGTATAGCAATATTCATCATTGCGCATCCCAACAAAAGCAGGGAGAACTTTACAAGGAAAATGTTTAGCAATATTCATCATTGCGCATCCCAACAAAAGCGAGAACTTTTCAAGGGAAATATTTAGCAATATTCATCTTTGCGCAAAAAGTGTCACATCTCGGCATTCCTATTCTCATAATGTGCAATGGGTTTGTCACCATGGACCTAGTTAAACAGTTTAACCAACTACGAGTCCCAGCCCATAGCTCAGTGGTAGCTCAGAGCGTCCGAAGTACAAATCGGAAGGTGGTAGGTTCACCTCCTCTTGGGAGCACTCGGAGTTCTTTTCTTCCGCGTATGCCTGTGTCATTCACTGAATAACATTATCTTTCACTTTCAATGTTCAACAAGATCTTTTTTTTCCCTAAGGGTACTAAAAATACTATTTTCCTCAAAGAGCAAAATGCTTATGTTACTAAACTTTGTTATTTCTCCTTCCCCAATAGGCTGACAGCATTTGTATCAAAATCCTTTGCACAAGCGCGTGCGTTTATTCCTGAATACATTGATGACGAGCTGTTGGAAGAAAGCTTGGGATGGATGTCACGTCAGACAAACAGGGACGGATCCTTCAGGAAAGTTGGAGAAGTTCACAGCTCTGTTCTGAAGGTAATCTGGGCACAGTTGTTCGAAGGCCGATAAGCGCTAACCCAGGGTTAAATTTTAATCCAGGTCTCTGTATTTCTCTGTCCAGAAGACGTTTTGGGATAATTTTCTCAACTCTCAACTTTTTTAGAGCATTCAATCGTCAAATTGTGGGCAAATGGAGTTAAACTGAATTTTGTTTTTAAGCTTTCAGATCTGAGATCAGATTTCACACTAACCCTTGCTTATTTCAACCCACCTTTAAACAACTTGTTTTGCTGACCATGGATTAGGTCAGACTCGATGATCACGCGGGAAGACTTACTCAATTCCTTTTTTCTTGTAGGGAGGTCAAACAGGTGTTATCTCACTCACGGCTTACGTCCTCGTCGCTTTGGCTGAGGCGAACTCAGTGTCACAGGTAGAATAATTTTGAATTTATACTTCCCCCTCCCCACCCCTACTGAATTGATGTATTATTTTCTCGTGGCGGAAGGGTGGAGAGATGGCAAAATACACAAGGGATGGGAGGGTAAAGAGAGATACTGTTCACCTCCTGTAATAGATATGATTCCTAAGCCAGAATTAGTTCTTCTTTCAAATGAGGCTAATTTTAGAAAGGGAAATTGCGCAAGCGCTAAGCGTTAACGTTTACTTATTATCCAACTGTGCTTCGTAGAGTACAAAAAACGCCCAAAACGAGTACAAATATCTCGCGGTATTTGTACTCCGGAGAACTGGCTAGACAGGTTTTCTCGCATCGTGAAAGCGACGAATTGGATTAAAGTTAGGAAAAAATGGCGGACAATTTAAATTATTTTTCTGGCGACGAAGTGTCGGAATGGCTGGCAAATATTGATCTAAGTTTACTAGATAAATCGAACGAAGAAAAGCAGTTAGACGACAATGAAACCTCCGCGCCAATTACGTTCCGCCTCGCATACGAGCGCAGTTAAGCTACTAATTTTGCACCGGATACTGTTAAAAGGGTGCTAAAAGAGCATGCCTGAAATCCCAAGTGTTAAATATCTATCAAAGTAACGTCTTTTTTTCAGGCTGTTAATAACGCTAAGAAAGGAGCCATAGGTTTCTTGGAGGGCAAGGTTGAAGCCATGTCAAGTGATATACAAGACGCTTACACATTAGCAATCACTGCATATGCTCTGGGGCTGGTTGGCAGCGCCACAAAGTGGAAAGCGCTCACGGAACTGCGGAAATTGGCCATAGAAAAAGGTATAAGTTGAGCATGCGCAGAGGGCGTAGACGTAAACGGACAGGGGAAAGAAAGCGGAAACTCATAAACCAGGCCGACAGGGCCCTGTCTCCTCAGCATTTTTGGTCACCCTTGTCTTTTAGTAGGGGAAACATGGCGGCACGCTGGACTATGTATTGAAAAGCCCGGTTTCGAACGCATGCTGATTCATTTAGTTGTGTTCTTGGGTCAGGTGCTTGACTTTGACAGTGCTTTTTTTCCATGCAGGGATTTTAATGGCTGTTTGCAAACTGTCGGGGAAACTTGGCGACATACTGGGGGGGAAGAGGGGGGTGCAGTGGAAGTCTGTGATGGACTAGCACCGCATGATCTAATCCAGGGAGGTAGCAATACTTTAAGTCGCTTCATGTTAATTAAATCGGGATTAGCTCATGTGCTCTTCGTGTTTCGCGCTCTGAATTTCAGATGGACTTATATACTGGCAAGAAAAGCCTGAGGTCAACAAACCAAACGACAATCCATGGTGGCGCCCATATTACCGTCCGCGATCAGCAGACATAGAAATCACTGCTTACGCTCTGTTGGCTTTCACACTCAACAAGGATATAAGTGTTGGTCTGCCCATCTCACGCTGGTTATCACAGCAGAGAAACTCGCTCGGAGGATACTCGTCAACTCAGGTATGGTGGTCTTGTGTAAATCTGCATTTATAATTGGATAATTTAGTTTTATCTACTGAGTTAATGATGTAGATTGGCTACTGTAAAGAGTTTTAAAACCTTGCGTTTTAAGCGTTAGCCCTTCAAAGTGAATCTACTCAGTACAAGCTTTTGACTCTCTCTACTGTGGCCAATTCACATTTTGGACTCAGTTGATAAATTCAAATTATCTTATAGTTGTCTTTGGTTATTCGTGCGTCTAACTTCTCCGCGTTGTAAAACAACTGGTTTGTCTCCCACCAGTTGGTGACTTGCTGTTTACTTACCGTTTGCAGTATTTCTCTTAACCGCGAAGAAAAATATCTTTCAGGAGATATTCTTTGATCCCAGACAAAATTCTCGGAGCTTGAATTATAAGAAATGTATAGAAAAGCAGAGAGAGTTGTTGGGATTTTAAGGATTCATAAGCATTCTCAGTCTTGGCATCAGACAAGTGTTCACTATTTATGATTATATTTTATATTATATTGTATCCTCTCTCAGGACACTGTGATTGGACTCCAGGCCCTCTCGGAGTTTGCCGAGTTAATTTATACGCCGGATATCGACTTCACAGTTCGTTTGAGTCTTAGTGGGGATCCGTTTTTCAGCCAAACTGTAACTGTCAATCAACAAAACTCCATGGTGCTACACTTAGAGGAGGTAACGCCGTAATTTCCTAATGAATCATAACATACAGAATAAAAAGGTAAACCAAACGATGAGCTCTCAGTAGAAAGATCCAAGGAGGATACAGTGCTTCGATGAAAATATTAAGTAAGTGTAAAACGATGAAGCATGAAGCAAACTTCTAACTGTTCCAGCTTTAATGTGGCGACGTTTCGGCCTTCGGCCTTCTTCAGGTGGAACGTATTTACATAGAAATTAAAAACTAAAAGTCCTAGTAGGTTTACAGAATGACCTGAATTTATACTAAACGTAAGAAATATAAATAGTATTGCGTAATTCAATAACATATATATATGTAATGCAATAACATATAAATATATATATATATATGTAACTGCAGACAGTACTGTTTCGGCCTTCTGGGCCTCATCAGTGCAGTGCTAATGCTAGGATGGGGGAGAACCGAGACGGTCACCCCAAACGACCCAACCTTTGTGGTATCGTCTAAGTCATGCCAGAGTGCTCAAACTAGAGTACACTAGCGAGCATGCGCAATTGCAGAGCAATGACTCATCCTAGTTAGAGTGCTCAATTTGGACATGAAAGCAAAGCTTTGTATGCCAAAGAGCTATATCTATATATATGTTATTTATACTGGGGAAAAAACTGTGCCCAAGGTCTAGTGTACGTCGCGAGGCCGAAGACCGAGGACTGTGCTCGCATACAGACCTACATGATGCGGTAAATAATTTACTTTGAAAACTTATTTTATATTGTGAAATGTGCAAAAATTGTCCATACTATTTGCGAAAGTTATTTATAACTTAAAATTTTGCTATGAACAGATTCCAGATATGGCTGCAGCTGGCTCTTTGAAAGTATCGGCTGATGGTCATGGAGTAGGAATGTTGCAGGTTAGATTCAGCCGATTGGCAATATTGCAAGGAGATCTTTAATTTTTTTTTTTCGCGGATGGGAATGTTTCAAGGCGGCATCCTTAGAATGAAAAAAAAAATAAACAAACAAATAAACAACAACAACAAAAGCGACCCTCGAACAAAAGTTCACCAGACTTATTCTTTTAACTCCTACAAATAATCAAAATCTATCTTCTCACATTTTCAAGCACCATCCAGAAGACAATCGATCGGATGAGACACGCATGTTAGCGAGGGTTGATATCTTGATCAAACATAAAATTCTCTTCGCTAATGGATCGCAGCTTGAAGGGAAAATAGAAAATAGGATTTTGCATTACCCCGCTGTAGTCTAATTGTTGGACTCGTCACCTAGGTGGTCAAAAGAGCGCGTTACGTAACTTGACCAAACAACAGCTACGAAGAAGACTATATAACTGTATAACAGATGACAACTTTAATATTCCTCTTCAGGTGGGTGTCACTTATAACGTGGACAAAGCCCCTGCGGAAAACTCGTTTGATTTCCTCTTGGAAGTCATCCGGGAAACTGATTATGAGATCGAGATCCAAGCGTGCTCCAAGTGGACTGAGAACGATCAGAGCTCGGGTATGGCCGTCATGGATGTGGGGATTCCCTCAGGATTTGAATTAGACCAAGACAGTGTGGATACGGTGAGACTCTCCATTAGAGAGATTGACGAGGTGTCCTTTTTCTTCATTAAACACGAAGGCGTGCCATAAAAGGAGCCTTAGGTCCCACTGGACCATTTGTCAATCAACCGTCGAGTGGTGTAGAACTCTTAGAGTCAAGTCAGCTTGAGCTACAGCTACTCCAAAGCAGTGAACAGCGGGCGTATTCCTCAAAATTGTTTTATGTCTTCATCACAATACAATAATTTTTGAGATTTGTATTTCCTTTCTCCAATGGAAACTGTCTTTATTTGTGGCGGTAAATTTGAGATCGAAGTAGGTGGTTCGCACGTTACCTCATTGCCACCATGCTGGTGGAAGTAAACAATAGATATCTCATTAGCTCCTTTTGTTCGTCTACCAGCATTTAAATTTGACCCGCACACATCAACGGTGAGTGACAAATGAGCCTCGGTCTTCCCAGGGAAGACTTCCTTATATAGCGCGCCTTCGTGTTTAAAATGACACAGTAAATTGTGTATGAGCTAAAAAGGAAAACCTTCCTTAGCTGTGGCGACTTTTGTTATTGGTCAAAGGAACTAGTCATCAATTATTGCCGGGGGGGGGGGGGAGGAGGGTTGGAGGAATTTTGGTTGTGTCGCGCTAATATTTACCTGATCCCTCTGTCGTACCCCCTTTATTGGCAGACAATTTTCTTCAGTCCCCCTGTAAACTCGTTAGAAACGACTGACCCGCCCGCCCCCACCGTTCCATCTGAAAACCATGTGATCCCACCAAAATAATTCGACCCTTTCCCCCCCCTCCCTCTCTCACAGGCGATAGAAAATGTCTGGTCCTTATAAACTTGGTAGGTTGGTGGCGAAGAAAGCGGTCTGGGTAAAAAAGGAGTCAATATTATTTACTTGTGTGCTGGTTTCTCTCCCCAGATCATGTCGAATCCATCTCTGAAGCTTAAGCGTGTCGAGACAGAGGATCGCAAAGTGCTTTTCTACTTTGACGAGGTAGCTTGAGCTAAGTTTCATTTTATGGCAACATTTTTAAAGGTGATATTACTTAATTCAAACTATTTTAATTACCATGTTTGGTGTGTGAGTCACTGTACCCAGAAAGTGACTCATTCGACTACACGGATTTTGAAGAAATGTTTTATTGTCTTTATGTACGTGAATGAACTGCAAGAGGTCGCTCAACCTACGTAGCTGATAAACAACCCCTCCTTTTGAATTACAGATCCCTTCCAGTCGAAAGGTATGCGTGAATGTGTTGTTTCAGCGTGCTTTTGATGTAGGAAAACCTCAGCCTTCTTCAGCATCTGTTTACAGCTACTACGAGCCAGGTTTGAGATGATATTCATAATAAACTGATTTGCATTTCTGTGATCAAAGTTACTTTAATGCACTGTCTGTGGTATGGCTCTTAGTTTACGTTGGGCTGAGTCACCAAAAATATAGCGTGGTTCAACACTGGTTAATTAAGTGCCTAGCACTTAATTTCTCCTCATGAAGGAAATGATCGCGAATGAAAGAAGCTCCTGATTGGTAAACGAATTTTCTTTGTCTGTACCATTGGAATGTATGTTCGGTTGCTAAGGGTTTGATTTAGTGGTCGTCGAATTAATTAAATTGTGCGGTTAACGGAAAAACGTCATGAAGCTGAAAAGGAGTGGAAAAAGGCCAATAAGAGGTGAATTAGGCAAATTAACGTTGAAGGTTACACTAATCATGACCATGCTGGAAACCTTAACAAACGTCGGTCCCACTGCTTTATAGTTGATTCCAATCTGTATGCTCCGAAATAGACGATATAATCCTTGTTTGCGAGCGCTCGTAAGCTACTCTTCCAGTCCCAATCGTAATAAGGGTACTATGTCACCACCCAATCTCGTTACACTCTCCAGAAAACAGGTGAGAAAAGATAGAGAAACTATGACAGGCACTGACTTGTTAGAACACCAAGTTCTCTGAACTAATTTTCAAGCGGAAATATATAGCAAGTAGGGGGAAGAAATACGGAAGAATTGGATTTTGGGAGTTTTAGAATTGATGAAAATCAAAAGGATTGTGTCAAACTGATAAATCCGTCGAAAAATAACACCTTTTCCTCCTTTTTTAGCGAACCGTGCCGAAGCCTTGTATGCTGTAGACTCTCTCAAAGATAAAGGGGTCTGCCGTGTTTGTACGGACTGTGTGAACTGTGATGAGTCAGACGAACCTGAAGTTAAACGAAAGAGTTGTGCACCTGGAGTGATGGTTGAAGTCCGAATCTGTGGACTGATGATACTGTCTGTGATATTGATGGCTGCATTGCAGTAGCTTCCGTCGCCACAGAGGATTTTTCAAAGGCATTGCATAACACAAAAATATCACGATTTTTCGAAACTTTCGTTCGCGTCAGTATGTTAATGGTCCTTTTATACTACAGCTCTATAGTTCGAGAGTGCCAATAGATACGAACGAGTACAGCTATCTAAACAATTTTGCAACGATCGCTTTGGAGTACCGCAGGCGTGTTTAGATTTTGTAAACCTTATAGAGTCTGATACTTTTTAGATTTTTTAGCAGTAAGATGAACGTTTTAGGGTCATATACAGCTAGTATGCCTTTTTTACCTAAACAAATGCACCCATGAAGCCGAAGAATTTTGTAGAACATTTTTCTGTCAGTTTTATGGAACGACATTTGTAAGTATACGATTAATTGATCACGTTTTCGACGTCAGTGAAGTACATATTTTCATTAAGCCCTTTTTAAGAAAGAAAACGACAGTTATACCTTGAGGGTGCACCGCGTAATTTCTTAGTTTAAATGTAATCCTACAGAGACGGAAGATCGTTTTTCTCCTCTCCCATTTCATACAGACAATTGCAGTCAGATAGCCTTCATATATTTAGAGAGGTGCTTTCAAATATGGATAGATAATTAGTGATAGAAATTTGGATTTTTTAAAGTATTCTATTGTTTTAATGTATTGTTTTGGTTATATCTACCGAATAAACTTACTGCAATGAAGTGAATGTGAGTGTTTTTATCTGTCCGTGTTACTCTGAGCCCATCGTCTCCTCGCGCCAATCCCCCAAAAGAGTCTCAATGAGAACGCACTCCACTGATTTAGATAGGGGAGAAAAGACGACAGATTTCTCTGACTGTCGGGATAAGATTAATGATTTGACTTATAATTATTATTATTTAACCAAACAAACGAAACAAAAAACAAAAAAATGCGGCGTGGTATCTTGTCGTTCATGAACTTTAAGTAGTTTTTACTGTTAGGCGGTTGAAAAGTTCCTTGCAAATACGGTTGGCATGTTAAGCGGCGTCAAGACGAGTCGCATTAAATGGATTGATCTTTCTTAAGCTTCTGAAGGAACTCGTCATGCGTAGAATGTACCTCACGCCAATGTCTTTGACCTTTGACCCTCGCTAGCCACTCCGAAAGCCTGGGCCAAAGCTTAAAGTCAAGGTCTACCCACTCTGCCTGACATAGGATGGTTGCTACGTAACTGTCAGCTACAGTGAGCTCAGATCCGCACAAGAATGGGTTGTCTCCAAGAAAGTAATACTCTAAGGTTTCGAGGAGTTCACTTGCCTCTGACAGTCCTTTCTCGACTAGTTCCTCCGTGGCAGCTTCGTTAGAAAGGTGGTATCTTTCCAATAACTGAGGATACACGTATTTGTAGCCTAGAGCACTTCGCCATGAGGAAATACAGAGGAGTTAGTGTGAAGGAAAGTTTGCGATTACATTGAAATAATAAACATACGATATGATTGGATTGTTTGAATACGAGCGAGGGAAATGGGTCGAGTATACAGAATCGAGGGAAATGGGTCGAGTACACAGAATCGAGGCAAATTGATGAAATTCACGGGAGAAATATTATAAGAGAAAACTGAACTCTTGCCTTTTTTAATTTTATTTATGTAGAGAGCCCTATCGTGTGCTAAGGAGGATTAAAACAGAAAACTTCAACCAAAATGACTGAAATGTAAGCTATTTTTAATTTTGTTTTAATTCAAATATTTTTTGAAACGTTGGATTTCCCTCTCTTTCTTTCATGGCAACAAACATGGAACAAGCCGCCACATGTAAATTTTTCCTGAAATCTAACGAGCATTTCCTAATCAAAATTCCTAGGACTGACTGTTTTCTAACTGAAATAAACGCGATCGCGTCATTCAAACTTACTTTAGCAACTTGGAGCAAGCCCAGTCTAGAACTGAATGTACCCCATGGCGGTCTTCACTTGTTTTTCCCCAGCCAGCAAAGTCTGTGTACTTCTGAGATAGGTAACGTAGTATTGCCATCCTAAAAGGTGGAATTAGACCATCAGCGCATTATTTGCGTGCATTTTTTTTTCTCCTTTGATCAAGGGCAGTTGGAACATTTCCACCTCGGTCTGTTTCTCGGTTGACTAAAAGAGTTATTTTGGTCTGATAACGTAAACTATAAATAATTATTACTGGGAAAACAAGTATGCAAATTGGTTGCCTAAGGCTAGCTCCGAAAAAAAAGTGAGAATAATCCGACACAAACCCTCCAAAAACCGTCGTGTTTCCATCGGTCAGTATCGGAACTTCTTCGTGTGGATTCATCGCCACAAACTTCGGCTCACGGTGTTCTCCGTTGAAGACATTAACATCTGTTAATTCGCAAGGTATTTTGTGCTAAATGGGATAAAGAAACAGGAATGTAAATTATCTTATGCATGCATCAGACCAAAAATAAAAACAAAGAAAAGGAAATGATAAGGAATTGAATGTGTTGAACTAGCTCCTGGGTTCTAACTCGGGTAGTATTTTGTTTGAAAAATCATTCATTTAAAAGTTTTGGGCGATTTCTATTTTCATTTGTCGCTGACTTTTAACCACATTCTTAAAAACCCAATACAATTGTGTGTGTAAACGAAACGTGAAATCGCCATTTGTGTAATCGAAATGAAATGCAAAGAAAGCCGGAAATCTTAATCTCAAAAATACCGAATAACATAGGTTTTTCAGTCAGCACCAGAAATTTATGCAATTTAAGATAAACAGTTTACCTTCACTTCGATCACGGTAATCTACCCGAGGCTTTTTAAAAAGACGAGTTATTTAAGTCCTACTCTCTGCACGGAGTAGATGATGCAATAAGTTTAGCGAGAGTGTGACAATAGGTAATAAAATTATACCAACTGGGAGCTTTTTGAGAAATTGAGTAACCGATTACCAACAAAGTTTGGCCGCTCTAAGTTTAAACAAACATTTAAAGCATAACATAAGGAAGAGTGCCTCAAGCAGTGGTTGTGGATTTCAGACTCTCTTAATAAAACACCTTACTTGTTTCCTAGTGACAAAACCAAATACACATATTTAATGAAAGAAGTGTTTTACAGTTGATCCGTGCGGATATGATATTTGTTATTTCTAATGCCTAGACTGTTTTCTTCCGAGGCCACGTTATTATCGTTGATTTCTTTACTATTAGAGAGCTCAAGCTCACACTAATATTTATTGTAAATATATTCTCTCCAACCATACCTGCAGCGCATACAGCCAAACCAATCGACAACACGGCGAAACTCGCACTAGGTGAAGCCTCAATGGAGTTTTACAATCTGTTTCGGCGGACACTGATCGTACACTCATTACGCTTTCAAAAATCTCAAATTATGTCGCATAATTTCCGTTGCGAATTGGTTTGCATCACTGATCGATCGCTCCGGTACGGAAGTTGTTTGGATCGTATTTTAAATACACGTCATTTATCATCCGCCATTACTCATGTCATTTGAATATTTAAAGAGGCATAAACTGTCACAAGTTTCGAAGTTTCCTTTCTTTGAAAAACCTGTTATTTACTTTTGGATATTACGTATCTAACTACATCTGGGAGAATGAAATTATGTAATTGAAAATTGAATTACAGTAGATATGATACAGAAAAATTTTCGCAGAAGACTAAAAATTATAAATCAACAGTAAAAAGAAAAAAAATAAACCAAATTAAACAAATTAAAAAAAATAGGTATAAAATTATCGAACTTGTATGAGTTATTAGGAGAGATGAAAAGACCTGAATAAACAATTTACTGGAAATTCAATTATCACTATTTATAAAGATAGAACAAAGTAAAAATTTTTATGACAAAGAAAAGTTACCATATTAAACCTGCAACTCTAAATTTTAAAGTTATGTTTGTCCATTCTATTTTTTGATTTTATTACTGTTCAGTTGTTTTTTTGTTTTTGTTTTGTGCGTGTTTGTTTTGTTTTTACTCGTACCTCATCAATAATATTGTCAGAACTGTCTTTAACATAAACTTAAAACTCTCCAAAGTAACACCACAAGAATTATTTGGCAGACAGTCAAGAGAATTACGAACGAGATCATGGCCGGGAGTGAACGGGTTAAACTATAGTACTCGTGAATTTGTCAAAGGAGACTAAGAAGACTCTCCAAAGAGATTGGGTACAACGAACACGGACGAACGCGTGGACATGAGAGGCTTGGGAATCAGTTTTCATGGTCACAATGGTTACCAAGTCAACAACACAAAATGGCCGCAGAGATTGCAGTGTAGATCTTATGCAGAAAAATGAACCAAATGTTGTAGGAAGCAGCACCATGTCTCACACAAAACTACCTCCTCTCCCACCGTAAGTATTTATTGTTATCTATTTTCAAGATTAATAATGCAATTTGGTCCTCCTTATCTTTATAAAATGGAAGGAGGAAAGCGAAGGTTGCGATCGCAAGCTGAAATAATTTAGAGTACTGAGGCTTTCTGAGTCTAGACGTACAGTTCATAGTTAACCTGGCAAGAAATCCGACTTAAACAGCGTTTGCAATCTTCTTGCCATTGCTCCCTGTATGTGTCAACATTTGATCCCACATGATCGCGATGTATTATCACCACGCTGTTTTTATAGCTTTTATTTTCTGTGCACGTTTCCTCAAAGAGCCTACGTTGAAATGCAATGCCAAACGCACATACATACACGAAGATAACTTGGTTTTCTCAACTGATTGGCCACCGTAATGAGTTTCTTAAGTTGAATTTTGGAGTGTTAGCCCTTCTTCAGTGCGAAACAGCTTTCAAATTTAGTTGGAATTTTACAGGATCTTCGTAGGTTAGGAGTTGACGCTAAGTACAACGCATATACGTACTTTAAGGATCTTACATAAGATTCTTTTATGCAAATACACACAGCTGTAAGACTAACTGTTTGTACATGTGTTATTGACCAAGCGTGAGGTCTGAAGATAACTGGATATTGGCCAAGTTCTTTTTTAGCATTTTTATTGACCGAGACCAAGACGAGGTCCATAAAAACGGAAAAAAAAAAAATGAGAACGAGGTTAATATCCAGCCATCTTGACCAAACAACCTTGTTCAATAAAGGATTTATCATATAGCAAAAATATTTCGCTTTAATAAGACTCAAGAATGACTTGACTTAATTTCGAGGGCTGGGAAAGATAGCCAACTGCATTTGTTGCACAATAAACCCATGTGATTTCTCTGATTATACATTTTAAATACCTGTAGAACAAGAGAGTGTGTGTTTTATCTGTTATCCTAATTAGGGTCCTAAAATAGGTTTTTCTTTAAGAGTATTTTTGTCCTAGACAGGGTTGAAGGATTTCAAACTCTAGGTGGCACCCTATACCCAAACATGGTTCAAGTACCCCCCACCTGGTGGGGGGGGGGGGGCTGGCTAAAGCATTAATGAATTGTTTCAGACTTGTATTTTGAATTTTTCTCTCCAAAGCTCCCTAACAACATATCCTCAACCCAATACAAACAACAAAGCTGTAAAACAGTACACTGGGCTGAGCGGATCAAGTTACAGCCTGACTGGCCAATCTGGTAGTCAAAAGTTTGCTCTCCCTTCAGCGGCTATACTGCAGGTACTTGTTATATCCCTATTTATTAGGATCTATTAGTTTATGAATTCCTTTTGATACTTGATAATTGTCTGTCTACTGGATAAAACTATTATTATACACTTGTATTAGGGGTTAAAGTTTTGGAAAAAAAACTGTGGTGCTGCATTTGTGGGGGTATTAAAAGATAATTTGGTTTAATAAACTGAGTTTATAATGTAAATTTGCCACTGTAAAGAGTTAACATGTACTATATTAGGCTGACATTTTGAGTATTAGCTTCTTATCCTTGGATTTGCCCTGATGATGGGCTAATGGTCAAAACATCATTTTTATAATCTCTTTACGGTGGCCAATTCACATTATAAACTCAGGTGATAAAAACCAAATTCTATTTTAGTTACCTCCATTCGTCATAGGTAAAATGAGAATCTTGATTCAAATCATGATCCTCTAAACTTTAAATTTATGAGCATTGAGGATAAAGGGTGGAGTTTTTTTTTTTTTTACATTACCAAAATGCAGATTTTTAATTATCATATATGTTGAATCTTAAACTGTATTATATAGATTCTATTAGTGTATTAATAAATGTTTTTCTGTGGAATAAATTTTTGCTTTTGTGGAATGAGAAAGTGACTAATGTTGAACAAAATGAGTGTATTTAGGATTTTAAATATGACTGTAGCAGACAATGTTAAAAATTCATTAGAGTGGGATTGTATTACAATTGTATTGCACAGTCAGCATTAAATTGTTATTTATTCACGTAAAAGCAGACTGACTGTAAATGATAACCTACTCATCTTACATTATGCCTCTAGTTGTGCTGTTGCTTCTAAATATTGTCTTTTTGTTTTTAAGCCCTACATTGACACCCGGACGGGTACCTTGGACACATGGCCAGCACATGCTCTTGGTCCCAGTGCCCCGGATCTCAACCCAGGGGCTGCCAAACAAAGTAATGAATTCATGCCAAAGGGAGTGCACAAGCCAAGGTTCCTGGAACAATTAGAGGCTTTCTTACAAAAGGAATTGCGCTCTTTAGATTGTGCAGAAATGGTTCCAAGTGAGAAAAGATTACAGGTGTGTTTTGTATTGAAAATACAGTCATTCACTTATGTACATTTTAATTTAACATCCTTGACAGAAGAACTTAAGATTGGTGTGTCTGCTGGCTCAGATCAACTTTAAGTAAAGCAAAACTTCTTTGTCTGGGTCACATGGGTCTTTCATCAATCATTTATCCATGATTTCTGAAAATCCAAGAAAAAGCCAATAGACAAAAAAAAATTTTAATAGATAAATGAAATGTGACAAATTTGTCAATTACTAGGAAAAAACTGGCTTGGTCTTAGTAGTTATTATGTAATGTTTTTTCTATCATTTGATTCAAGTACTTTTTTTTCTTAACCTCCAGCACCCCACCCCCAAAGATCTTAATAGTAATTCTCTTTACTGTCTGTCAAACAATTCTTATGATGTTAGTTTTTGAGAGTTTGGTATTGGATCAGCTAATAATTCCCTAATTGAATAAGTGTTTTCTTTATTCTGATCTCTAATCTACTTGACATTGTTTTGATACAATAATTTTGTAAGAAGAAATTCTTTCTTGGTCAATCTTGGGAAAGATGGTTCATGGAGATAACTCTCTGACACTACTGGATATTGTGTGTCTGACTGTGAACATATAATTATGCACATGCAAGGCTTGACACTAACTTTTCAATTTACTAGCCAAGTGGCTAGTGACATCTTAGATGTTACGACAATTTCAGTTTGTTTACTAGCCAAACTAGCGAGTGGAAATAAAAAAACCACCAGCCAAAACTGAATTTCTACTGGTCTGTGGCTAGTTGGCTACAATTAGTTTTGAGCCCTGACACGTCTTTTTATCATTCGGAGTGAAGATGATAACATTCATGATGATGATAACTGTTTTAAATTATTTGTTAAATTTTCTCTCAGGCCTTTAGGGAGGTGTTTGAATATTTAATAGAAGACTTTAAAACTTACAAGCCTCTGCTATCAGCGATAAAACATGAATATGAGATGATGCTGGTACATCAGAGAGAGAAGATCAGGGAACTGGAACCTTTAAAGGTACTGCCAATTCTGAATTTAATATAATTGCAGGTTATTTTGAATTATGGTTATTTTTTTGTTTTAATTGATCATATGATTGCCTGACTTGGTTACTTTTTTTTAATATTTTCTTCAAAAGTAGCCATACCTTAGCACACCATGTAATATCCGCTTGGATGTTTCTGAAATTTTCCATTCTAGTTGCATTCAGTTTTTGTGTTCCACACTTGTATTTATTTGGGAAGCACTCTCAATTGGTGCACACAAGGCTACAGTATTTGTTGTGCCACTGTATTTACACGTACATTCATATATCCCTTCCCCACACAGATTTGATTAAATCTCTCAGTCCATATCTTTTAAGCTGTGAGATTTACAACTTTCTTGGATGGAGCTTTAAACCTGACGTGTATAATTATATTTTTGGCAGAAAGAAAAATCTATCATCACTTGCATGTTTCTTTGTCCTCTTTCTCAGAGCATGCTGGTCACAGTATCTGAGCAATGTGAAAAGAAACTGTTAGCTGTCAAGCAAGAGGAGAAATCAGGTGATTTTACACTTACTTGTATCTGTTCCACTTGTCTAGTACCTTAATGAAAATTTGCACCAAATGGAGCCTCAAAAAGCGCATTGACTACTTCTGTCTGACTCAATTAGCAATTTGTCAAATGCAAATCACAGCTGCTGTTTTATTCTGATTGTCACTGGTGAACTATTCTACTCTGACATGGGCACCTACACTTTGGAATTACCTAAATCTAATCTAAATCTAAATATCGTTATGTCGGCAAAATCGTTTAGGACATCACGCCAACTCTAAGATAATA